CGCCACCCCCACCCCCACCGGCCTGGCAATGCACCCCAGATAGTGTTCCGCTGCAGCCCTCCTCTCATGCAGCCATTCACTCTCCACTCATTCAGCAAATACCTACTGAGTATCAGCTATGTTCCAGGCATCAGGATTACACAGGGTCTCAGGATGCAGATCTCCAGAAGCAAAGGAGCAAATGCTCCTTTTCTGCCCTGGTACTTCCAAAGACCTTTGGGGGAAGTAAAGGAGGGAGGCCCGCCTGGGTGTATCAGTGGTAGGAGTAGAGGGAGAGAAGATAAGAAGAGAAGGAACGAAAGACAAATAGAATGGCAAAGAAACAGCAGTCTGTGCCCCGGCCAGTGTGGCTCAGCTGGCTGCTGTGTCATCCTGCGCACCAGAAGGTCGTGAGTTTGATTTCAGGTCAGGGTACATACCTAGGTTGTAGGTTCAATCCCCAGTTGAGGTGTGGACATGAGGCCACCGGCCAGTGTATCTCACTTACATTGATGTTTCTCTCTTTCTCCCTTCCTTCCTCTTTAAAAGCAATAATAAATTTAAAAAATGAGTAGTCTGCTGGTTAATAGTAACATTAATATTGTTATTTTAAGACTATTTTTATATATCATTGGATAATACAAAAAAGTAATTATTTACTGTTGTTAGGAACCCAAATTCTAAGTGTAAAAGATAGCATATAAAAAGTCAAGGGAAGTAAGTTTACAACCCTGTAATGTTAGACTGGAAGTGAGAAGATCAACACTGTACTGGTCATGTGGTACTAGATAATGTGGTACAATACACAGCCCTCAAATCTCAGAGGCTTACAGCAACAATAGTTATTTCATGCTCTCAGGTCTATAGAGTAACTGCAGTTCAGCTGATCTCTGCTGGGTCCCCTTGGACTGGACCAGGTTGGGATGCAATTCAGGCTTCGGGTTTGGGATTCAGGCTACACAAGCAACAGCTACCAGTGCACCACGGAGAGTAGAAATTCCAGGAGGACTGGTGGAAGGATGTCATGCCTCTGACCACCTCAGCTCACCACCTGCATGCTATTACTTGTCCCTAAGTCACAGGGCCAAGCCCAAAATCTATACAATGGGGAATTATACACACCCACGGGGGGGTTATGACAAGGATGAGGAGGGAAGAAAGAATTGTGGAGAAATATCACCACCTCCCCTAATTATAATCTCATGACTTCTCCTTTTAAAAAAATAAGTATTTCCTAGTCCTGTCCACCAAAAAGACCGAAAAGCGACAGCAACCCAATAGCGATGAATATCCTCTCACCCAGACTGTGGTTTCTAAATATTATTCTGCACTAAAAGAAACCAGCGCGCTGAAGAATGCCTGAATCCAGATCTTCAGTGGGAAATGTACATTACATTTATATGTATCATTGTGCCAAAGAGCATGGAAGTTATAAAAGATGAAAATATCATGTTGACATAGGAGATGACATGAAAGGGATCCCATTGGTTAAGGATAGGACAAATTACGCAATAAAAAGAATAGTGACTATAACTGATTAAAACGCAGATTTCCCCACGCACTCTAACTCTATGGAATCAGAATCTCCAAGGATGGAGCCTAAGCATCTGTATTTCTGTGTGTGTGTGCAGAGCTCCCCAACCAATTCTGATGCATAGCCAGGGCTGGAAGTCACCAGTCCACAGGTTTCCTGGTCTTCTGGGAGTCCAGGTCACTCATAGTGTCCATCTTGCTCTCAGATGCCGACCTCTGCTTGCTGGAAAGTCTTGCCTACAACAAACTTAAAATTGTCCCCTATTCATGTCCTTCCAACTCTGGGGTGGTCCAGCCACAATGTGGCAGGCATCTTCAAGGGAAAAAAATTCCAGTTTTCAGTCTGTTAACAAAAATAAAAACAGTAAAAAAGCTCGGGCAGCTCCCAAGGCCCTCCTTTTAACCGCAGTGTTGACAATGACAATGAGGAGCCAACACTTCCATTTTTAGCTAACATATCATAGATCCAAGACATTCAGGTTTGGGGTTTCTCCAGATACCTCAAAGCAATTCGCTCGTAATCCCCAGAACCATCTGGTAAGTTTTTGCAAAATAGTGTTGGCTGGGTTCCGGACCCTGACACAGATTCAGGTTCAATGGTCTGGGTGGAGTCTGGGCACCCCATGTTTCCAAGGCTGCCCAGGTGATTCTGATGTGCAGCCACAATTGAGAACCACTGCTCCAAGCTAAACTTTTGAAAGCAAAACATCTCCACCTTAATGTCTTGTCACAACTTGAAACCAGATATGCCTTGGGTGAGGTGCCTTCCAAACTGTAGTGCCCCGTGGAAAAGTCTTGGTCTGCCCTTGTTTGTGCCTCTGAAGAACTCCCCACCCCTTCCCTCCTACAATCAGCCTAAGCAGCAGTCCCAGCCCCCCAGCACATGCAGGTTCAGGGTTCAGGGCTCACAGCAGGCTGGGCTGCCCTGCTCAGCGTTCAGGACAGAGAATAAAGACCCAAATGTCTAAACCACTCCAGATCAAAACTAAGCAGAGCACATGATCAGAAATAGCTGAGAACTAAGGTGATCACCAAACATCTATTCCCCCAGAAGACTCCAAGGTGAGCTGTTTCAGTTTTTGTTTTGTTTTTTCATTAGAAAGAATAGGTAACTCCACATTAGAACAAAACAGAAGATTGGAAGTCAGCCAATTAAAAAGCAAACATAGCTCTACTCCCCAAAGCTAATGAACACAATGTGCGCGTGTGTGTGTGCAAGCATACACACACAAAAATAATATAAATCACATTCACATCTTCACATAAATGCCAATCACAGCTAACAATACGAGTTTCCTCCTCATCTCTAAGGTTAGATGCCAGCTCCCAGAAGGCCTGGATCCTTTGTCTGACTGCATTAAAATGCTGTTTTTCTCAGTCTTTACAGTTACCATACTGTAAGAAGAGCATGTTAGGAATGTTCTGGAATTCACAGTAGACACCTTTTGGTTGCAGCAGACACACTGTGACATATCTCTCTACCAACACCTCTCCTCTCTGAAATCTGCACCCCACTCACAAGGCTGCGTCCCCTCAGCTGTGTTTGCTCATCTTGGCCACGTACTGATGACCTTGGTCACTGAACCCGCACTAGACACATGCTCAGCTGGGCTGGCCTGAGAGTTGCTGGTCTCAGTCTGGAAGGTGGCTTCAGTGGGATCGGTGTAAACGTGGGCCCTGTGGAGAGGTGGTGTGGGACCACATAGGCAGACAGAAGTGAAGGCAGAAGAGAGGAGAGGGAAAGCAGAGGCAAGGAGCAGAGTGGCCTGCATCCTGGTCAGTTCTCCAGGCTGCCTGAACTCCACGCCCATGGATTCTGTAAAATGCCCCTTTTATCCCTGTAATAAATTCCTCTTCTGCCTATCACAGCTACTTGAAATTCATTCCTATTACTTGCTAACAGAAAAAGAACCCTGACTAAAATAACTATAAAGCCTCGTTATCAAATGCTAAGCATTTCCAGCAATTTTTAATCAACTTTAAGTCAACTTTCTTATCTTTATTGAACATGCTGTTGCTATAAATGTACATTACAATTCAATGTAAATATGTATGTGTTTTGCTGTAGCAACTGGTTTCAAAATCAGACACAAGGCAACCACCGGAATATGGGATCAACAAAAAAAAAAAGCTCTCTAGAAAAACATTCCCCAACATTCCCTTCCTGAGAGTGACCACTTCCAGGAGGAGGAGCCTGGGAAAAGTCATTCATGGGCCAAGACCTGTCTCAGGCATGGAGGCCATGGGCACCAAATGCCACAGCCCAACCCAAGTAGACCAGATGTGGTGACATTCTCTGGAGAACCCAAACACCTGGCTCAAAGAATGAGCAGCACCAAGGATGGCAAGTTTCGGGACACTCTCTTTAATGGGGCTTAAAGCGATCACATGCGTTTACAGAGACTACAAAAGAGAAACTGTCTCACTCTAACGTGGCTGTTAGAACAGTAGGAAGGACAAGGTACAGACCTCCGGCTGGATGGCTTTAAACACAGGGATGTCCATTAATGTGATCTGGCTCTGCAACAAAAGAGAACGGGTGTTAGAAAATACAAAGGTAACTGTCATGCTCCATTGCATCTATACAGAGTAATAAAATATTCTTAAAAGTTATACTTCAACCCTTGAATAAAAATCAAGATAGAACAGAGTAAAGAACAGGCAAATTTCTAAAATGCCTTCCCATCCCTTCCCTCATCATAAATCTCGATCCACACCCTTCTCTCTTGAATGCGAGACAAATGTCCAACTTAAGAACTGGTAATAGTAGTTTGGAGGGTGGGACTGAGAGGAAGGGGAACATTTTTTGGTTTGGATATTTTTGTATAATTTGAGTCTGTTTTTTCAAGCATGAATTACTTTTGTAATTTTAAAAAGTTGACAATATTAAAAATTAGATTGCTAAACAGAGGTACTATTACTCTAAATTTAAATTAAAAAAAAAAACTGTGGCTTATAGAAATTGTCCATTTCTTCTGAAGTTTAAGCCTTCTCAAAATTATATGGTAGAGTGCCATTCCAGATGCCTCCACAGACCAGTGTTGGACCACGAACTGTTTATTCCACAGCCCACGGTATATAAGACAACTATAGAATTTGAGAGCAAGCATTTGGAAACTTACAGCAATTTGCCAAATACTCATTGTATTTTTTAAAGTATTAGCCTTCTATAGATTGGAAATGAAAAAAATTGGTCCTTCACCACAACTAGCTTGAGAGACATTAATGTTAGCACAGAAAGCACATGTCTGGTTAGAAGGGTGTTCTCATTGGGCAACAGTAAGACAGTGTCACTGCTGACAATTCTGCAGACCGAGGCAGGGACTGAGCTGGCTTCACATGGCCTATACCTATCTCCATATGTCACATGGGGGGCCAGGGGTCAGATAATAGGCGCCTCTGTGACAGGCCAGGGAAAGGAGAGCTGATGGCCTTTGGATGCCTCCTAATGCAAGAAGACACCGTTTACCAAACACAGGTCATCTGTGAGGACACAATGCTGTGCGACAAACATGGGCTCTGGGATCAGTGGGGCTTGGGTATGTGTCTGGACATGTTGCTAAACATCAATATTCTATTTGACACCTGACAACTCTCCCAGTCTCAGGTGCCACATCTAGAAAACAGTAACAATAATCCCTATCTTATAGGCTCTTTGTAAAAATTCAAGACAAAGGATGCAGAATGCTTAGCACCTGACAGATGCTCTCTATATACATATGTGGGGGAGCAGGGAGTGGGTATAGTGTGGGTGTGGTTGTGTGTGTGTATATATATAGAGAGAGAGAGAGAGAACTATGTGTATATTATACACACGTTCACACACACAGAGAACATCTCTGAACAGGAGGGAGGAATAAGCAGGCAGCTTCAGTGGAAAGCTCTTTGTCCCCTCCAAAAGACTAGTGCTCTTCATGGGCCCAGAGGTGAAATGCTGCCACTGATGGAAGCTCGGCAGAGAGACAGTGGATGGCACTGGGAATGAAGCACTTGGGAATCTACCATCTTCCCACCTCTCAGTCCACTCACCAGTGGCATGGGGGCATTGGACATCTGCACATATGGATCTGGCCCTGAGGCCTGTAGGCCCATGTGCCTGGCCTAGGCAGTGCAAACAGACTGGCATTTCTCCTGCCAGACCCATGGAGATTGCTGGCTAAGTGCTCCTGACATTCGGATTAATTCTGCCATCCGAGGGAACAGAAAGGACTTGTGAAAACAGATTTGAGCTGAGAGCTCTCAGAGGGCCTTGGAAATCTCTCCCAAGTTCAAGTGAACTCCCTATCCGGGAGAACCGGCAGGATGTTTGCAATGTCATTTAGGAAAAGAACCAAAAGTCTGCTAATGTGAAAATGAGAAAACTTCCTTTGCATCCTGCCATCAGTTCTAGGGTTTGCTACTGAATTTCCAAATGATTTATTAAAATAGTGACTTTACATTTCATATATGTTTTTGGACAGTTCAAGTTTCAAATATTCTGATCCCTGCTCAAACTGTATATCAGAAAATGTGTTCAAGTGTTTTTTTCCTAAACAAATAAGATCAACAGAGGTCACCAGACTTAAAATAGACTGGCTGGTCCCAAACACACACTTGGAGGGTTTTCAGGAGAATCCCTTCCGTTTCTATCCTCTCACCTCCAAGCAAAAAAGATGCAGTGTCCAGAGCAAGAATATATCAATACATAGGTAAAATCAACCAATTATAAATTTCATGTCATTTTACTACAAATGCAAACACCTGTGACAAAGGTTGCTGGTGAACAGTCCTTCCCTGGAAATTTGAGCACCCCAAGGCAGGCAGTTTTACCAAAAAGGGAGGGTGTGGGTAGGGGTGGGAGCTTGAGGGCGAGGTCAAGCCCTGGCCCTCTTCAGCCCTCCCTGGGGAGAGGCCCTGGCTTCCTGGACGGAGAGAGCATCTCCTAGGGGTGTGGCGCAGCCTCCACAGAAACGAGACAATGGTGCTCTCATTTCTTAGCAGCAAACCGGAGGTGGTGGGGAGCACATGCCTGGACCGATGAGAACACTCAAGAGCAAACTTCTTAATGGCTTCTCCTTAATTGTTCGAAATAAAGCCTCAACACATGATGTCCAGTTAAGCTAGTCACTCAGCAATGCCTTTAATCCGAACTCCTCCCATCTCGTCCTTCCTCCTAAAATCCAGCCTTTTAGGGAAGTGGCCAATCTCCACATATCTCAAAACATTTCTGTAGATCTAAATCCTTCAGAATGGAGAGATCTATAGGGCCACTTCACAATGAAAAAGACTCTATTATATGGATAAATGAAAGCTACTAGCCAAAAAAAACAAACAACGTTTTCATATGTTAAATGTAGTGTTTCTCCCCTCCAACAGTGGCTGACTGGGTCCTCTCTTCCCAGCTACAACCTTAGTTTAAGGCCCTCCCAGCCCCCAAATAAACTAACCAAAAAAAAAAAAAAAAAAAAA